TGCAATCCCCATTCCTGCAATCCCAAACCCCCAGGATCCCCATTCCCACAGCCCTACTCCTTCAGGACCCCCATTCCTGCAATCCCAACCCCCCAGGACCCCCATTCCCACAATCCCAACCCCCCGGGACCCCCACCCCTTTGGGATTCCCATTGCTCCCCCCCATTACTGCAGCCTGGTACCCCAGCAGCACGCAGCCCTCCCCATCTCACAGGGCCTCCCCTGCACCCACAGCACCGCAGGAGGGGTGCAGCTGCTCAGTGCCCCCCCAGGCTCTTATCTGCAGCTCCCAGGGGCTGCTGTGTGCTGATAAGCACTGGGTACTGCTGCACGCTGTCCCCTATATCACAGCATGGGGGGGGGTTGGAGAACGAAGCTGAGCTCGTGGGGGCAGTTGGGCAAAAGAACGACAACCACCCAATAATAAATAATAATAAAAAAAGAATTTATTTTCTTTTTCCAGATGAGATCCGTAGTGAAGTCCCACTGTCGGCTGGGGGCCCACGTAGGAGCGCATACACTCAACAACCAGAAATAAGTTAAAGTGGAGCTGTGGTGCAGCAGAGACAAACCCAGGGTGGTGCTGCAGCATTGGGGGGGGCTCCCCATGGCTCCCCCAGCGACCCGCACTGAGGGGAAAGGCACATGGGGGGGGGTGCCATGGGTACCCCATATCCCAGCACAGCAGTGCTCCAAGGGAACCCCCCCTGGGCAGCATGCTGTGCAATAAAGTGCAGTGAGGGATGGGGGGGGACACTGGGGGACCCTCGTGCTGCAGGATGAGGGCAGCTGAGCCCCCTTCCCAACAGCCCCCCCCCCAGCATTGACACGCTTTGGAGTGATGGGCAGGGAAAGAAGTGCTGCCCTTCTCTTGGTGCTGAGCCCCACAGCCCCAGAGGGACCTGGGGCAGGGGGGGGGGGCCAGCAGCAACCCCCCTTGTCCTCAATACAGGCAGGAGAGCAGAGCCAAGAGCACCATGCATGGCATGGGGGGAGTTTGGCACTGGGGGTTGGTTGGCTATGGGGCACCCAGAGGGAGGTGGGCAATGGGGGTATGGAGATGCAGAAGGAGGGAGTGAAGCCTCACCCCAGCAGCAGGCAGGGAGAGATGGCACAGGATGTGTGGATGCAACACAGACCCCCCCCTCTTCCCCCCCTCCCCAGTGGCACAGAGCAGGCAGGGGGTGCATAGGGGGGAGGCAGGGGGGAAAAAGGCACTGCAGGTGCTGCAGCCCCCACCCCAATCCCTGCCCAGGGCACAGGTTCAAGGCACTTCCAGTCCCCAATTGCAGGGAGCTCAGGCTGAGCCCTGGGGTGGGGGAGGTGCAGAGGGGGACACCGGCACCTCTGTGCCTTCAGCCCCCTCCAGTCCATGTGCAGGAGGACATACCTGAGGGTCAGGATGGGGCTGGGGGGGAAGCACAGCAGCATCATTGCTAACATCACCCCAGGAAAAGGGGCTCAGCTCCACAGGGCTCCCCCCAAACAAGGCACACAGCAGCCCCACTTCCACCCACCCCACAGGGACACAAGGGGGGGGGGGGAGGGGC